ATTTTATTTTATTCATTTTAGTGCAGTTCTGACACAATTTTCTTGCCAAAAAATCTTTGGTTTCACTACTTTATTTTATTCCTTTGATTAAACATGTTAAATAAAAGCTTATTTTTAAAAAAATATTTTTTTTACATTACTTAATTTTCTAATTTTTAGTCCATTTATAAAAGCGTTGTATATTAAATAGTTTTATTTTATTTTATTTACAAAATTTTGCAATAGATATTAAAATAATTAAACTTGCAATGAAAGAGAACAAGACTATGCAAGCAAAATGTTGTTTGCTTACGTTTTGTATAAACATACATATGTACATACCAGAGCTGTAAAATGATTGAATCAACATAGTCTGCATTCACTCGGCATTCCTTTCAAAATGTTGATTGTTGGTTTGTATAAATAAAAACTTCATTCCTGAGTGGCTTAAAATATTTGAAAACAAACAAACTGTGTTTTGTTATTGAATGCTAGATTGCCATTCAGTATAGAATGTGAATGTTCAGCAGCATTCGCACTCACACATGATTGTATATTTAGAATGAATGCACACTTTTTTTTACCATTCAGTACCAATAATTTGTTCCCAGGGTTGATATATTTTATACTTTAAAGTTTGAACATATCTGGAATTGAAACAAAAACAAATATTTTATTTCAAAGTATATGTACTTATGTATTGAAGTTTTCTGCCACTAACCCAAAGCCAATGACTCGTGCAATATTATTTATTCCAAAGCAACTTATCGCAACCGTAGAGCAAAACAGACACATCTTGATATGTATACATATACATCATCGATTGTAGACATTTTTTCGCAGAAGAATATACAAAATTGATTTATCACAATTATTTTTGTACTAAATATTTTTTTCACAGTATACAGTGATCCAGGTAGCCAAAACAAAAAATGTAAACATGCTTATTTGACATTTTGTTTGAATGTATTGGTTGATATTTTTTCACAGTTGTCGTTTTCGTTAACCCAAATGAAATCCAATTTAAATATTTTCAAGTCACATAAAATAAAATAACGAGAAACACGAAATTCCAAGCAAATGAAGCGTGAAGCGTCAGCAATTATGACCGGATGCAGTTCCTACATAAGTCAAACCGAGTTCTGAACACAACTTTGAGTGAATAATGGTGGGCTGACTTTGTAAAATGGTCCCATCGATTAGGCGGTAAAAGAAGTATTACTTAGCTTATGGTACAACTCTCCAATTTTCAAATGCACGTAATTTGTGTGTATTTGTTCAGCCGATTATTCACATTTGAAAGAGGATAATGCATGAATTAATGCAAGTAAAGACGGTTTATGCAGATAAGCGAGCGCGTTTGTTAACCGTATAAAATGTATGTACGTATATACACATATATTCAGAATGACGAGATGAACTAGTTCAGCCCTCTCTGTTTGTAAACACGCTAACTCGAACAAAATTTAGTTATTTTAACGAAAGTCGGTGTCGAAGTTGCCTTTGGTATAATTTAGGTTAGTGTTAAATTTTGTCGAAATCTGCCAATAACCACGCCCACCTCCCACGTAGTAATTAACAATATTTTTGTTTTATTATAATTTGTTTTACGAATTTTGCTGTTCAAATTTACATTTCAAATATATCAACAAACATTTGTAGGTACTTTTGCACCAGTTGTTGCCTATGGGTTAATGACAAAAAAATCCTATATATTCACAACATTTCATGTATTAGTTTTCAAATAAGCATATTGTCAATGGCTGGTTTGCTGTATACTGTGATTGTTTTCAGTTTTCAAATATGAAAACTTTCAAAACAAAATTTCAGAAGTGTTCCTGTTTTTTTTTAAGGGGTTGAGGAGTTCCATTACTTTGAGCAACTTTTTTAATTAACTATTAATTTAAATGTTTCCTAAACATATTTACAACGCAGTTCTGCAAGAGGGTACCATAACTTTTTTTCAAATAACGTATATTTGGAACAACCAAAATTAATCGATATGGATACATACATTTATGTTCGTATGTACTACTTATGTATGTATATATACATAAAAATGCTCAGAAAAAAAGAGAAGATGATTAGTCCATGTCCGTTTATTTGCGTACACGAAAACTCTAGCAAAAGTTGAGATATCTCAACCAAATTCTGTACGAGGGTTTTTTTATCTAAACCTGGTCCCTCTCATAAAATGGTAATTTCGAAAAATGCCAAAACTACAATATTTCCTTAATTACAGGAACCAAATTGCTAAAAAACTGCCATGTTTATTATTATAGTTTTGGAAAATGGACATGGGATATATTGCTAGCTTTAAACATCAATTTGCTCAAAACATACGTTTAGAACAGTTAGCAAGCTTCTACCACATGTGTGGTAGATCAACCACGTAATTTTTTTTAAATTTGGGTGTCTACCACATCTACCACACAAGGCTTAAATTCTACCACATTTTTAGACAGAACATTTGTTTACAATTTTCACATAACTCTAGAATTTCAACTCAATTGTAATTCGAAATATAAAAATTAATCAATAGATTTTTAAAAAGGTACATCATAAATTTTGCTTTAAATATATCTGTGCCTTAACTTCCTAATATTTCAAAAATACGCCTATTTATATTTGCTAAAGTATTATGCAATGGGAAAATAATTTGGTCGATTTTTTTGCATACAAATAAAATATTCTTTTCTTCATGATTATATTCTCTAACTAGAAAACTAATGTTATACTTGTTTTTGCACCAATTGCGTGGAATCTGTACGATCCACTAGCAATTATATTTACCGATTTAATTTTTGAGTTGTGCTTCTTTTGACGACGGTGTGCGATATGTATACCCAATAAAATATGAATTGGAAAATCTACCACATCTTATTCAAATCTACCACATTTTTTTCGATTCTACCACACTAAAATAAAAAGGGGTTTGCACACAGATTTGTTAAATCTTTTTTTTGAGAAAAGTTGATAATTTGCAACTTATTGTAAATGGTAGAAACCACCACAAACCCACAAATCAGGTTTTAGAATCTTTATTAAATGCTTGACCCAATAGCGAAGAAAAAAGTACGAAGAAACTTGTATTAAGAATTTTTTAAATAAATAATAAAATGTATATATCTAAAGTTAGAAGTAGAAGCGCTTAAATTTGTTTACTTATTTTAACGTAGATATATAGGTATGTACATATGTAATAATTTCTGCACATACCTTTTATTGGTACATTGGTAATACTTATTTAGAAAGCTGACAATTTTCGAAACAGAGATGTAAAAATCGTTAATAATTGACATTTTTCATAATGACATTCTTGGCAGAACAATATTTCTCTAATTAATATTTTCATTTATTATAAATATTTGTACAAATTTAAGTGAAACAAATTAATGATAACGCTCAATAAACTATTTTTCGTGTTACAATTTTGAAATCTGTTCAATAAAATTCAACCTTGCGTATTTTTCAGTGGGTTTTGTGTATTTAGAATATTTATATCGATTGATTGGTACTGAATGAATGTGTGCACACATAGCAAAAGCTGCATTCATCTGAATGCTTATTCAGTGTTAAAAGTTAATGTTTCGTCATTCAGTTTTTTCAATCTTTCTTTGAATATGTTAATGTGTGCAATCGTATCTACTTTGAGTGAATGTAGAATTGGAAAATTATAAGCCACATTCCCCAACAAGGAAAAATTCAATGAAAACATAATAACATAAAATTGATGATTTTTAATTTCATATGATTTCACAGTTTTACAGCTCTGGTACATACATACATATAGCAGCAGTTAATTTCATTTAAAGAAATGGCGTGTCGTCCACTTCCCCTGTAGCATGGCATATATTTAGGCGCAATATTAAAGTTCTTCTGGCGGGGAAACTTCTCGAGTCTTTTAATTGTATCTCCTTGATATGATGCCTACAACGAGGTTCATATCTAGACTAGGTTGATATCTAGAATTTGCCATAAATAGCTTTGCTCTGGTTTTACGTTCTTTGGCAAATTACGCTCTGTTAGCCATAAATTTTACTAATTTTTGACCGACTTTGAATCAAGACCCCTGGACCATATAGGAAATTCATTTATATTTTAAATTGCATTGTCATCGTGATTGGAACTATGCTGAAAATTTCAAGTCTCTAACTTGTCGGGAAGTTAGTTTAAAATCGATTGGAAATTTCCACGATTTGCGCGGGATGACCAAGTTAAATAAAAGCTTATAAAAAAGCATCAAAAATCGCATTATTACGATTCCGTTGAAAAGATTTTTAAATGTTTTTATGTAGATTTTTTAAGCCATCTGAGGCGCCTTTTTTCAAAAAGTTGTTTAAGAAAGTATTTTTATTCATAAATAAACTCCGTTTTTGGAGGTATTTTCAAATCGGTCCAGTTCACTTAAATCTTAATTTTTTTCCGAAATATTATGGTGGACGTCTTAAAATATAATAAATTTTGTAATCCCGGCGGAAAAACCGCAACTTTTTTTTGGTGATGCAGTCTACTCTACATACATAACTGCCTACATTATTTCTTCATGACCTGTACATACATTTGTATTTGTTTTTTTCATATAAGAATAAACATTAACATTAGTACGTATGTATATGTATAACAAACCTTTGCTTTGCGCTGTATTCCGTACCAATTAACTCATTTGTGATTTGCAGGTGAGCAGCGCTGTTATGTGGCATGTATGTTAGATTCTATAGGATTTTTAAAGTCCTGCAGTTCCATTTTTAAGAAGTCGATACAGCCCATCTCGAGCTTTGCGAACAGAAAAACGGCTTTCAAAATATATACTAATATAGATTCGTTCAATTAGTTTGTGTGTAGATCTAATTTTAAAATTTTGGTCGATTTTTCTTTGTCATGTTACCTTAGGATGTGATTGTTTCTAAAATGTTTGAAAACAAATGCAAAAAAGTTAGTGAATCCTGCTAAACCGCCCAGTTTTTTTTTCAACTAAAATATGTATATTAAGGTACTACAAGAGGGCCCATACGCAGTCTGCGCAGACAGAAATATACAGTAAACTCATCCCTCTTTGTAGCCACAGATAGAAGCAGACTATTTTAATAGTTCGCGGAAATAATTATTCTTATAAACCCCTTATTTTTATTATACATATATTACAAAGCATTAATGAGATTTATAGTACATCAGAACTTATACTTATTAGGTACATACATAAAAACATATTACAAACTGACTGATATATGAGTGTCATGAGTTGAGGGAAACATGGCATCTTCACTCAATTGCTGAAAATATGATGGCACCAAAACACTACTAAATTGCAAATAGATCTGCCGTTGTTGCATATCTTGGTTTATTGGAAGGCAATTACGTTTTTTGCGATCAGCTGACACTCCTATACACCTTTTTCGAGGCATTGTTAAGCGTAATTATATTAAATTGAATCCTATAGTAGTAAAAATGGTTATTACGATCAACAAAATAACTTTTTGAAATTATAAAGTTGCCGATTTTATGTAGACTTCATGAGATAAACGCAATATGTCAGTATATCTAATGGAAAAATGTTTCTGTAAATGAAATGTTGAATTGAAAATCACCAAAAAATACCATAATACCAAACACCAATATGCTTACCATACAAATAATACTCGTAATAAATGTATTGCTTAGCTGTTATGATAAAAGGAATATCCGAATATTTTTCCGACAGGGTAGCCAGAAACAATATGGGCTGCAAATAAGATTGTGATGCGAAATTTACAAAAAATACCTTAATACCAATACACATATGAATGTACTTACCGTATCTACAATTTACGCGATAAATATATTTCTCAGCTTTTATCATAAGAGGAATAAGTGAATATTTTTAACTGA